GAGATTAGGAGGATCACAGTTTGAAGCCAGCCCTGGCAAACAGTTCATGAGACCCTATCTCAAAAAAAACCTTCACAAAAATAGGGCTGGTGGAGTGGCTCAAGGTGAAGGCCCTGAGTTCAAGCCCCAGTACTGCAAAAAAAAAAAAAAGAAGAAAAAAAAAACTAATTTGTTGTGAAATGCTGACATTCTAACAACTAAACATAATTGTCCTAATTTCATAATTCATAATTTAACTACCATATAGCAGTCAATAGTTTGGTGGAAATCTTGGAATCCACAATGATTGTATATTCCTGTATATACATGTAAGTCACAGCCAGACAGCCATGAAGGAACTCCCGTTTTAATTTTTCTAATGGATTGGCTGGCAATGCCAACAAAGTTAATAGCTTCTTATCTGTTTGTTTTTTTTAAGGGACTTATCTGCTAACCTATTCTATGAACCTTTCCAAAAAAGGAAAAAAAAATTAGATCTTTTGGAAGCCTTCAAAATTGGTTGAAATTAATGGATCTCATCCTAAACTGTGATTTATTGAGTTCAGGGAGTTTTACAAAGAATATAGCTGCTTTTTACTACAAATCTACAAGGTAGTTATTATTTCTAGTGCACAAAGGAAGAAACTAAAGCTGGGAGGAGGCTGGAGGTGGCTTTCCCAGTGTCTTACACTTAGTAAGTAGCTCAGCAGGGGATTATTCAAACCCAAGTTCCACAAACTCCAAACCTTGTTCTCACAGCTCCACCATGTTGCTTCTCAGAGATAAGACACAGAGACGCCAGGAATAGCCATTAAATTCTGATGCAGACAATGCCATCTAACAAGTGGGAAACATTTAAATATTGAAATACATTTTAGCTAATTTTATAATTGTAATGAATTTGTTTCTCAGAACTTTTTTGGTCAAACTGAGGCCCAAATTGAAAAAGTTACCAAATTAAAAAAAAAAAAATTGTGTATTTTTCATCATTTATGTGCTAGTTACACTCACACTTCCTGAAGATGTTTTTAGGGGTTTACAGATGTCAGAGAGCTAATTTCATTTAATATCAGGAGAGGAAAAATATGTACCTTTCATGTTCTTTCACTTTTTCCTAGGCTTTTATTAATATAAATTTCTTTCCCAAAATGATGAAATAATTTTTTGTCACTTGAATCCCAACTTCCCTTCATTCTTCCTCCCTCATTATCTTGGTTAATTCCCTGTGTTGGTCAATAGTTTTGCTCTCCTTATTTGGCATCTTTCTACCTAGTTTTCTTTCTTCCTGCCATTCTGCTCTCCATACCTTCTGAGGTCTTCAAAGTAAGGACAAGCAGGAGCTCTCTGACAGGAAACCTAGGGAAACCTTGCGCTTAAGGCTATCTCCACTGACAGGTGTTGACATTAGCAAAGCCAAAATTGATGTCAAAGTGTAAGGCCACTGAGCAACTCTCATTTATAAAAATAAAATCCAAATAAACGAGTTACTAGATTCACTCTTGATGTGAAGTCTCCAGCTGTTTCTCCATATGTGTTCCCAAGGATTAAATTATTTCAAAATAAATAACATGATAAGTGATTTATACGTCTTCGGTCAGGACTTTAGGGTTATTTTTATTACTATGGCTGTACTCCAGTGATTCACAGTGAACAAAACCACCCAATGTGGATGATAAATAAAACTTCCCCTAGACATCTGTCTCCAAGACAATGGGAGTTTATTATGTGGTCCCTCAACATAGTTTCCTTAAAATAAAGACTAAATTAAAGAGGCTCCACGAGGCAAAACACTGAGTATGTTTTATTCAGCACTTGTATTGCTAAGGCTCTTCACAATGCTTGCCACACAGTAGGTCGATTTTTTTCAAATAATTAGGTGAATTAAATGATACTTGCATGATCCCTACTTAAGAAAGTAATCTGCTTTTTCTCAAATGTTTTAAAACTGTAACATATGCCCTATTTTTCTTCCAAATGCCATTATGACAATCTATCCAAAGTCTTTGGAGAACTTCAGAAAAAGGAGGGATCCTAAGTATTACACTTTACAAATGAGCAGGATCCCAGAGAGTTAAAGCAATGTGCCCAGAAATACATAAATATTCAACCGTTCAAGGCAAAATTAGAATCAGATCTCCTGAATTCTTGATGTTTTTCAATTGCAGTAGCTCAATTTACTTACATTACTTAAATAATATAAAGTACTATAATTTTATATCCAACATCAATGCACCTAAAATGACTTAAAATATCAAAAACCTGGGTTTGAATATTCCATAGCTCAAACAATTAGTTTAATGACTTGGCAATGTGCTAGCAGTTATTAAATTAAATTCATTTCTATTTTTCTGCTTGCAAATCATTCTGAATACAGAGCAAATTCTAACTGATGGACACATTCCATGATAGGACCACTGAGTAAACAGGAGCTCCAAGAGGAAGTACAGTTTCTCTACAGTATATTGTGATGGAATCAAGAAAGGTCATAACATTCAAAACAACTAGAAATTCTCATTTTAAAATGCCCTGATAATAGTTATTCTAGGTAGTTTTTTTTTTTTAATAGTTGTTCAGTTCTAAAGAGGAAGAATAGACAGGGCATATTCTAGCTTCCAAGAGCTTTAGGGATATTGAGAGTCCTGGCAATGTAGGAGAAAGAATCCAGTGGAACTTTCTGAAGCAGTGTCCTCTTTGCCAAATAAAAGAAAATGGGCAGGTAACATACATACATAAATGACAGGCTTGAAATATAACCTGTTTTCTTCATGTCACTAGGTCTACTGGTAATAAAGTTAGCCAAGGAGAATTTTTGTAGACATGCCTTGTGAGGATAAAAAATGCTTTACACTATATTCACGTGTACGTTCTCAGCATCCACTTGACAAATTTATTTCAAAATAGAAAAGAATGCAGCACAGGAAGTATACAGAACTGCCACCTTGTTTGATCACCACAATAATTTCAAATTTCTTATTGTGAGACCCACCATCTAGGTACATGCTTTTCATGTCAGAGTCACTCAAATTTGACTTATAAAGATAACCATCAGGGATTATTAACTCCCCCTTTTTCTGACAGCAAATTCTTGAGTCTTTGGTTTATTTTATCTCCTCCTCACGTAAATTGTTGAAAATAGTGTTATGTTAAATCAGTATTTCCAAAGATACTACTAGTACTTTTTGGAAATTTGAAAAGCTGATTTTTAGACAAAAAGAAAAGTTCAGGATTTTAAATACAATTCCCTTCCTCAAAACTAATCATTATCTTTACTAACACTGCTGTGATAAACATGAATGTGTGGCACCAAAGAATTAGCAGGCTGTGTAAATATTGCTTTAGGTACTGACACAAACTTCAGATGCACTCACCCAATTCCTCTTACAGAGGATCATATTTAACAATCTGAGCACTAAATAGTCTGTGAGATTATGCTACCTGGGAAATGTTTGCAGGGAGAGTAGCAAACAGCAGCCAAACCATTCTGAGATCTCCTTCTAGGTTGTAGATGGAAAAAGCGACAGAAAGGTTTATTAAAGGGTAAAATAAATGAGAAGGGGGAAATGACAGAAGAGTCACTTCACTGCTAAAAGAAAAGGTTGTTCATTAATCCATGTGCCACCTGGATACTTGTAGGATCCTGTGTACCCTGTCCCTCAGGATCTCACTCCTTCTCAGGTCCTTCTACCATCATTTACAAGAATACTTACTTTCAAAAGGGAGACTTAAAAGTAGTGGAACAAAGGCTGGAGGTGTGGTTCAACTGAGAGAGTGCTTGCCTAGCAAACACAAAGCCCTGAGTTCAAATCCCAGTGCCAAAAAAATAGTGTAGTCAAACGAGATCAATGCTTAGATTCACTGTGAAAAGTTTGAAGAAGTTAAAGCCCCAGGTGTCCATAGGGGGGGAAAGTGTTGTCAGGCATTGAAGTCCTTGCTTCCAAGGTCTAAGTGAGGCTAAAATGAATCTCCTTCCCCAATTCTGTCTGCAGTACAGCAGGTTCCTTCACAAGACCGCTCAAGACAAAGAAAGACTGAATCAGAGGTCAGGCATTCCTGGAAATGGTAAACGTCAAGGGCAGAGGAAATGCCTGCGCAGGATGAGGCAGGAGTGCTCTGAGAGGGTGCCCAGAGCCAGTGGAAGTCTTGGGTGCGGATAGAACTGCTGATAACGACATCCCGAGCTTAGCACACGTTTGCAGAAGTGTAGGAAGGCATTAACTCATCCAAAAGATAACTACAAAGGGCCCAATATACGGCATGGAGAAAACAAATCAAGACGATGCAGAAAGTATTGCAGAATCCAGGGCAGGGAGAGGGAAGAATGAGAGGAGGAGAAGGTGCAAAAAGAACCAGAAAGGTTTAGAAAACCAGACACGCAGAGAGGAAAGTTGGGCCAACAAATGCCTTGTAAGTAAGAGGGGCAAAGGCTGTGGGATGCAAAGAACAGAAGAACTTACAGGTTCCTTTATCAGAAGAAAACTCAGAAAAGTATCTGACAGAGTGCCTTATGGACTTGAGGAAAGGGATGCAAAAGAGATGAAGATAGCTTGTGGAATGCGAAGATGTCTCAGAAGGTCACTCTAGGATCAAGAGAGTGTGGGAAATGAGAGGAAGGGCTTCTCGGAAGGGTTAGGGACTCCTCTGGGAAGCCAGAGAACACAAATGAAAGACATCAAATTCAACTGCAGAACACAGTGCCTGGGAAAGTTTGGGGGAAAGAAAACAGGTGGAGTGAAGGAGCAGTGGGGCCATGCGTCCGGGGGAGGGGGTGGTGATGAAACAGGGTCCCGGACTGGAAGTGGACTGACAGGCCCTTGCATCAGGAGCCCCCTTTCCCATGTTCTAATCCCCCTTCCACCCGCACCCAGGGCCGGCCTCTAGGAGCCCTATAGGGGCCGGGCCGGGTGAGGCCGGGCCGCCCCCCAGCGGTCGGGCTCTGTGCGCGCGCCCCGGGTCGCCCGGCTCCAACTTTCCCGACCCTTGTGTCCCCTCTCCCACACTGCCGGTCCCTGTCCCCTGCTCACCGAGGGCGCCGTCAGGCGGCTGATGCTCTCGCCCAGCGAGTCCAGGTTGACCCGCCGGCGGCGTTGCGCCCTCCTGGCCCCGGCCGCGGCGGCGGCGGCGGCGGCGGCGGCGGCGGCGGCGGCAGCCGAGGTGGCCGAGGCCGGGGCAGCAGCGGCAGCGGTGGCCGCGCTGGGCTCGGGCGGCCCGGGCGGGCTCCGGTTGCCATTCCAGCAGAGCCTGGACAGGGGGCACTCCCCCTCCTCCTCGGGGCTGGTCTCCAGATAGTCGGAGCCCAGGGAGCTGAAGGACTCGGATGAGATCTTCCTCCGAGACATGCTGCCGTGCCGGCGGTGCTGCTGCAGCTGCCGAGGCGGCGGCGGCGGGGACGCGGTGGCGGTGGCGGGACCAGCGATCGGCGGCGGCGTTAGGCGCGTCGGGGCCGCGGGGCGCTGCGGTCGCGCTCGGCCAGGCTGGAGTCTCCCGGGCCGCGAAGCCCCGCCGGCCAGCTGCTCATGGCGGGAACTTCCACGGCCGCACCTTGGGGCCCGGGCTCGGCGGCCGCGCCGGGCTGGGCTGGGGCCGCCGCCGCCTATGCTGCTGCTTCGCGCGGCGCCGCCTTCAGCGCCCGCCCCGGCGCATCGCCGTGCGCCGTGCGCCGCGCTCGCGGGTCGCCTCCGAGGGTGGCCGCGGGGGGCGCGGCGCGGCGCAGAGGCTGCAGCCCTTGCGGCCGGTCGGGAGGCAGCGGCTGGGGCCGCCTGCGCGCGGCTCTCGCCCCTTCGCCTCTCTCCGCCCGCGCCGCTCCTCCCGCCTCTGACTTGCTGGCCGCCTCCCTCCTCCTTCCTTTATCAGCCCCCCCTCCCCGTGCTCTCCCTCCGCCGGTATCACGTGTCGCCATCGTACTCGTTGGGAGTCTCTGCCTCGCCTGTCGCCACGTTCCAGGAGCAACGAGGACACTTCGTTGCTGTCCTCTGCGCGCCCTCCCCGCTGCCACTGTCCCCTGCTATGCGGAGGAGCGCACCATGGCTTTGATAGGACCAAAGGTCCCCAACCCTAAATGTCCTATCCTTCGGCCGGGGGAGAGGCAGCTGGGCAGCAAACGGACCCAGCGGGTGCTGAAGGAGAGAGAGGGGTGCGGGGGTAGAAATAGGGGGTCGCCCTTTGGAACCCCCTCGGGGAAGCCTGACAGCGCGAAGTAGGGGGTTAGGGTCCGTGTTTGTCTTTGCCCCGCCTCCCTCCGACTTTATTGAGGAAGTTCGAGGGCGAAAAGAAAAGGCCGAGAGGTCCAGCCGGAATATTCCAAAATGCAAGGAGAGCGGCAACATGTGAGCGCCCATCCTGCCGCAGCAGCTCGTGGGGACCCGGCTTCCCCGCCTTGGGCGAGGCCGCGTGGGCGCGGAGCGAGTCCAGAACCGGAGGTGACAAGGACGGCATCTGCTCGGGAGGCGACAGCCCTGTTGCTTTGCCTCAGTCCCGGCTGGGGCGCGCGGCGCTCCGGCCCCAGCTGGCTCCGCACTCGTGCTGGACAGCTCCGCTTGCCACCTGCAGCCGCGATTGCCGGCGTGGTGGACCTGATGAGAACAGCCTTGTAGACTGCTCCCTAGGACCTAGCCCCAAAGGGACCGTGAAAGGATCCCATGTCCCTCACCCTTTGGGCTCTTTGCGCCAAATATACTATCTGTTTGCACTTGACTGCAAATGCTGCCCGCAAAGCTAAAGGGAGTGGGAAGAAAGGCGTTTCAAACCCCAAGATTGGACACAGCTCCAGCCCATCTCTCGCCAGGAGTTTCCAGCGGAGCGGTTTCATTCCAAAGCTCGCCTTATTGGAAACAGCTCCAATGCCTGGCCCAACTGCCCTTGCGTTAGCTCCAGAAAAACCTTGGACTTTTTCGGACTTCAGGGTAAGGGATGGGAAGAGGCCGGGAGACAGCAGGAGCACCAAAGAGGAGTCCCAGGCTGAGCTTGCCCCCGCCCCTGCGAAGGAAAGAAAAGGTCAAGGGCTCTGCCTTTAGCTCCCCCAAGGAACCAAAGCCAGCATGTTTTCAAAACACTGACCAGGTGTAGGAAGATGGGTTTGTGTGGACTGTGTTTATTCAAAAGCAAAAACACAAAACTATTGCTGTACCCCATCGCAATTTGCTTTTGACTCTAAAACTCGTCAATTGTTAATATGGCCCCAAATATAAATATCATATGAGGATTCCTTTTATACTTTGGAAAAATCCGTTCAAACTGATTTAGAGACACACTTTATTGTCAGATCCTCAATGGGCATTAAGGACGTGAAATGATAGTGCACTCATTCCCGTGTTCCCTTTAATGTAGAGTGGGATGGGCTAAAGGAGTTTCTAACTGCATACCTTCTCATCTTACCCTAGGGAAAGTCAGGCTTCAGTTTTTAAATTATTATTATTATTTAGATTATGTGGTTTATCCGTGATTGACTTCCCCATTGCTTCAATTTATCCGTATGCATGTGCTTACGGCAAAAATTGTATACAACTACATCTCTTGTCATAAACAAGAGCCCTCAGTTCTGCTTTAAAAAAAGTTTCTCTGGCTTTTTTTCTGAATTACAATGGATGATACCTTTGAAAATTATGTTCTTCCACCTTTGGGTAATTGCTGTTCAGTATCAATCATACACAATGGGTTGGAATTCCTAGTTCTTTAATAATGACGATGAAATTGTCAAGCTCTTTAAATCATAGAATTTTAGAGCTATTAAGGAAACTAAAGCCTATGTCCTTCACATTATTTCAATCAACTACTGCTGTCTTCCTCCCCCTAAAAGGTTCTATAATGATAGTGGTACATAAACTTCATGTTGAACTTAGAATTAGAACTTTTTACTAACCACTCCAACTCTTGTCTCAAAGTCAGAATTACTTGGTGCAAGACAATGGGTATCATTTGTTTCTAACAGTTGTAAGAGCCCTGGGAGTCTTCCTATTTACACTGGAAGTTTATTGCCAGAAAGAACTCTGAATCTTTGGGACATTTTTTTTGTGTGTGAACCATTTGGATCAAAGACTCTTAACAGCAGATGAAGTGGTCTTACAATTTTCTGTATGAATTACCCTGCCTTTAATCATGATTTTCCCACTAATTTTTAAAATATAAACAAATAGAGTCCTAAATATAGACAGTAAATCATCTGCTTTGCTTTCAAGGGTTTCCTTTGTGTTTCTGTTAGGGAGTATTGTTCAAAAGCTTTCAATATGAAGAGTGCTATTCTATATTTGAATTAACATTTTTAAAGGAAACATAGCCTATTCCTTGTTTTTTTAAAAAATGAGCTAGTAAATGCAAGCCAAGTACTTTAGGCAAAGAGCAGCCCACCAAGAATGAATAGTCTATGCTCTGATTTGGGGGAAAGAAAGCTGCAAGACCCATTTTCACAAATCAATCCCTCAGGCATATTGTGTTGTGTTTCAATAAAATCCTTAAAGCCCAGAATCCTATTGGATTTAGAAATATACTTGGTTTATTTGTGAAGTCATGGGCATCTGAGGGCTCCTTGGGATTCATCAAACACTGCGAAATACACCCTAAGAAAGCAGGTGTCCCACCTTAGTCAAGACGGTGATAGAGCCTTACCTTCGATACAATGGGCTGCTATTTATAAACTCCTCTGACTTACCTTGCCTCATTTAATTTGATTTTCATCCATCACAGAGAAATAGTTAAAGAAAAAATCACATCTGTCAAATTTGAATTACAACTACAGTCAGTCCTCATTCCCCAAATTCTTTGCATTCACAGCTCCAAACTCTTTCCTAATTTCTTTTCATCCATCTAAGTCACCAGCAAGAAAACCTACATCTGCGTGAGCATTCCCTGGAGCACAGAGTTCTTCTCAAAACACTAAGGAAACTCTACTATCAAAACACTAAGGAAATCTCTCCCTGGTCAATCTTTACAGACATCTGGCAACTCACAGGAATTGTACATGTATCATTAAAGCAAGTTCTCTAAAGCAATACGTAGCTGGTGAGTTCTTAACTAGGGCAAGTTTTTCTGGATCCCTAACCTAGAAAATCACACATACACTCTTCACCTACAGGATTAACTGTGTATCCACATTACCCAAATGAGACTGAGGTCTGTCTACCCTCTCACTTGAGCATATCTCTTTTTTAAGAGGGAAAAATGTGCTTTCTCAGTAAAAGACTGAGAGCAATAAAATGAAAATATTATACTTCAAACTCTTGCATAATTTTGTGAGATGAAATATTAAGGATAATTTTTAAATGAGAAGAACCACCTGCTTTGTAGAAATATAAAAGGTCATATGGAAGGCAGTATAATCTATCATTTTATGATTATATTTCAGCATAAAACGATCTTGAGGGAGCTTGCTGCTCAAAAAACAAGAAGGAAAAAAAGAAAGAAAAGAGGAGGGGGAACAGCGTAGTTGGGAGAAGACAGAAAAAATAAAGAAAAGAAACACGGTCAATGTCAACGCTATACTTAGTATAATTTGTACCAGAGAGATACTTGAAGTGGGATAGCTGTCTTGTTTTAATGCCACCAAATCCAAGATGGCGAGTTATCAGTGCACTTTGACATCACCAACTCTCCTTTGTGAGTGGCTTCGCACTGAAGCCTGTGCTGTAGAAGTCCATCTTCCTCTGGGGAAGAGGCCCTACAAATCAATGCTTCAAATACTAGTACCAGCCCCACAGCCACCTTTTGTCTGCAGACTCAGCAACCTTCACAGCCTTCATACAGGTTACTTAGGTTGAGATTGTTGTTTTAGTGCCATCTACATTTCAATATGTGTTTTCTGGATCACATTATTGACTTTATATATATATACATATATATATTAACCAAATAGTTTGTAAGTAAGTGATTATATTATGATACACTCTAGCCCTTAATTACTATTTCACAGGTTCTTTCCACCTTGTATCCATTTTCAACCCTTTTTACTTTCCAAATCTGCTTAAATAAAGACAAATTAACATTTGTTGAGATCCTTCTATGTACCAGGGTCTGCTTGTTTATTGCTTCCTTTAATCCTTAACAATCTAAGATATATTTCCCAATTATACATATGGAAATTCTGACACAGCAACTTTAAAATATCTCCCTCAATGTCATGGAGCTCATAAATATGAGAGTCAGATTTCCAATCCTGACTCCTAAGCCTACTTTTTTTCCCATTGAAACATGTTTCCTGCCTGCCCTCTTATAATTGTCTTCAAATGCCTTAAAAACACAGAGAAAAATCTGCTGGATTAAAATCATAATACAAGTGATTTGCATGAAAAATAAGTAGTACACACATAAATAAACTTCAAATTACTTCTGGAGCACACTGTCATGGGGAAGCTCTAATATAAGCAGAAGCTCTACATTCTAGAAGTTGCTCTCTTGGTGCCTAGCTATGTGACCAAAAGCAAGTTGCTTAATGTCTTTGGGATTCTCATCTCTAAATTAAATGGAATGAATAAAATTCCTAGTCTATAATCAATCTTTAATATTCTGTAACTTTCCTACTATTGTTGAGCTATTCATTTTCTTCCCAGAAGTATGTTGTGCCTAGAAAAATTTCTCCCTATACATTATAAAGGTTAGGTTCTATTTTTCCTCCATATCACATCCTTCCTGAGAATTCAATTTCTCTAGAAATCCCTTCTTTAACTACCTAAGATCTTCTCCTTATGTGAAACTGCCATGAGCAAGGTTCATGGAATTAAGTGGATAAAA